GTGCAGAAGCGCTGCCGGATTTTTCCGTTGGTGACTCTAATTTTAACGGCGGTGGTGCGGAAGCTCCGCCGGATTTTTGCGACGGTGACTCCGGTTTTAACGACAGTGGTTCGGAAGCGCTGCTGGATTTTTGCGGCGGCGACTGCGATTTTAACGGCAGTGGTGCGGAAGCGCTGTCGGGTTTTTTGCGGCGGCGACTCCATTTTTAACGGCAGTGGTGCGGAAGCGCTGCTGGATTTTTGCAGCGGCGACTATGATTTGAACGGCAGTGGTGCGGAAGCGCTGCCAGATTTTTGCGGCGGCGACTTCTCTTTTAATGGCGGTGGTGAGGAAGCTCCGCCGGATTTTTGCGGCGACGACTCCGATTTTAACGGCAGTGGTGCGAAAGCGCTGCCGGATTTTTTCGGTGGAGACTTTGGATTTAACGACAATCGCGCGGAAACACTGCCTGATTTGTCGATGACGACACTATTTTCACGGTAGTAACGATAATGTTTTTGTACTAAGTGGAGTGGGGCATTGGCACAGAGAAGGTGTCGCCAAAGCAGTGGTGCATCTTGAAGTTGCGTGAGTGTGACGGCGCAGGGACGCTGAGGCTTTGGAAGCGAATGGCGGTAACGAGAAAACGTCGCGAGACTGTTGAAAAGTGGTTGTGTGTTGAGGAGGTATTGTGGCAAGCGGTCGTCACAAGGGAGTGGTGTGACGACTGGGTGCAGCGACCTCCTTGTCAAAAAGAGGCGTAATTCTATATGGCTTTCTTGAGTGAGCCAAGCGTTCGACACCACTTCACTCAAGGTCAGTTGAATGACTCAGACTTCCTTTCACGCATGTGTGGACTCACACTTTGCTTGACCCTGTTCGTTTTGAATATTCAGAAGAAAAGGTAGAGGAAAGTTGTGCAAGTCGTGCATGTGAATGGAAAAGTCAGACTCGAGCATGGGATTGTATTGTTTTCTTTCCAACGTTTTTCCTTTGCCGTATGTGCAGGTATGTAAATGGATGTTTACAAAGGAGATTGATTATGCCTATTTGAGATGAAGGAATGGATTGTCTTCTTTCTACCTTTCACCTGCTTGCTTGTCAAAAAGAACTTGTTGTGTTGGAAAAACGTTATTCAACGTGTGTCGAATAATGAATTTTATTGAAATAAAGCATATAAGGTCAAACAGATAGTTTTTCCCAAGGATTAACCCATTCTATCCCGAACGACCTTATCTACCTATACCTATCTAAATGATTCTCATTTTCTTTAGCTCTTCTAATTTCGTTTCGTCTAAGTTACGCCCGGGACTTAGGAGAAATAAAAAAAATATATGAAAGCTACTTGCGGTGGACGCATCCACTATCTCTAGGAAGCATCTGGGGCGGGGGTTCGTTGCTTCAGGAGCCGACCTTGTTATCGACCCAGAGTGGACCGTTCTATGGGGGGTACTTGCCCATTCGGTGGAGACGGCCCGACTTCTGAGATCCGAGTCTTGTGCTCGGACGAGGAGGAGGAGTACCCCAGACCACTTCCTAGAGGAAGAGGCATGCAACACGTCAAGCAATGCCCCTGGTCAATAATTAATCGCAAAGTAGCTTGTCATCTAAAAAGATTGAAAACAGACGAAGACATGTATGTGCGTCGAGTTTCAGGTCGACAGTAGGACTTTGGCAACGCGTCTCATCAAGTCAAGACTAAGGCAACCGACTACCTTGTCGGCTGCATCTATGTTATTGTCGGTGACCAACTCCTTGTTGACGGTTGTATGATTGCTTTGTGGTGTTCGACCTGAGATGGTCGGATTTTATTTCGATCTTGTGTTATTGGATGTATTGTATGGTGATTCGAATTATTTTAGTTATCATATCATTTGGATATTTCTGTCGACGACGACCGATTTTCTTTTGATGTAATTGTCTGTGAATGTTATAATTATCTTTGGCTATATGTCTAAAGGACTAGGATTAATTTGGGTTTTCACGCTTGGTTGAGACCGTCCTAATCGGTGAACGTCCGCTTCGTACCTAGGAGATCAGCGTCCTAGGAACGGACGGCGATCAGATCCACTTGGCGTTAACGAAAACGTGCCTATACTACGGCGAACGAGCAAACGCCTTCGGCTGACCTACCTCTGCAATTGCATCTAAAAACTTTCGCACGTGGGTCAGTAGCTCGGTAGGGGTACGCCTCTAAGGGTGGTGACAGCCCCTTAGGGAAGTAAGCTTGTGTGCCGCGGGAACCTGTCATGTCGTAGGGGACCGCGGGATGTACAGCTGGTGCACCCTGCTAGAGCGGCAAAGGGACAACGCGACCGCGACCGTCTCGGCAGCTCGCGGGATTACTTATGCGTCGTTCTCAAGTTGTCTCTATTGGTTAGGTTTTTTTTTGAACTCCTACGTGACATGGTCGGGAGGGTCCTCGCTCGCGGAAGGACCGATGCGCTCGACAGGTGGCGCCGTTGCCAAGGATAACGACAAACTACCGTTGTCCCTGGTGGAACGACACTCGAGATTGGATGATGTAAAAAATATACTTTTTTTACTTGGCTAAGAGAAATGTTAATAATTGTGACCTCTATAGGGAAAAGAAGGGTAACTGTTTCGTGTACTCTATATTGTGGTATATCTGGTACTAACTTTTATCTCAGACTCGCAAAGAAAGTGTAACTTCAAAAGTCAGTTTAATAATGAGTTTTAGTTCTAAGAATTATTATTGTGACTCTCGTTCACAGTAATTAGTAAGGCTCATTGATAGATGGTTGAACATCTGTGGCATATTTTCATTGATGAAACGACACCCGAATAAGTTATTTTGATGATTAAGCATTATTCTTGCAAGTGAGACGTGAAATTGTTTCGGTGATTGCTAAATTATCAATCAGATAATTCGATCATTAATATAGTTTATGCGTTTTGCATGGCGATAAAATGACGGAAGGAACTTTTAACGACGTGCCTCTCTTCAGAGGTAGAGGGGTTGTTGAATTCCTACATGCCTTTCAGGCTTTGACAACGCTAATGCTTTGGGGAGAAAATCACAAGTTCGTTTTCATTTTGGGGTTTGTGATTGAAAAATTGAAAGTTGAGGTTTACATCTTCTACACGCTTCTCGAACCTGGATGAGTTCGAGAAGTTTATGATTGCCAAATTCTCGAAACCGCCCGAAGGAGAGAAAAAGGAAGAAAGTAGAAGTCATCATCACGAAGATATGAGGGGAATAACTTGACTTGTAGAACAAAGAGATGTGGAAAGGGAAAGTCTGCCAAGAGTAGACGTCTCTCTCTTCGACTGTAATTTTGTTTCTACTTTCCTTGAATAATTTGAAAAGTTGGCATCTGTTAATGATTGGGATGAGCCTCAGATGTTGAGGCGAATTCTTAGATATGTTGACAAAAATCTCGTGAGTATAGTCCAACGAATAATTGAGACTTCATTAGTGTGGCCTCATTTTCGCGATGCCATGTAAGACGAATTCTGGTTAGGCGATACAGTAACAACAATTGGGGATTTGAGGAATGTTGAGCGAGATGCATATGTAGTAAAGGAAAAGTTTTTGGCTGAATTTGAATGGGTGACTCGTCGAATTCAGGGGTTGACAGATAGAYAGAAGTGCCTTGCTTTTCTTGAATTTTTTTTTGAAGGRGAGCTGTGTTTGCTTACCCGAGGAKAAAGTAGTAAATTCAATTGGGAAAGAATTCGGTCAAATTTTATTGACCGAGAATTTAGTCGAATATTTGACCAGACTCCTCGATTACAGCTTCGCTTACAGAAAATTGAGAGAGAGTGTCGAGTTGACATGCGAAAGAGAGATTCAGATTCTGTGACGAATCTCTCAGAAATCAGAGGAATACTGGAAAAAGAAAAAGACGGTTGTTGTCATGAGTATCAGAAGACAAGGATAGAACGTCCTTTAGAGGACCAATGTGAGTAAGATAGGGACAATAAGGGAGATCAGTTGGATAATTCTTCAATGTCAACTACTCAAGATTGCGAGTAAGTGTCTCGAAATCAACGAGACCAGCGAGTAATTTTTTTGTTTTACTTGTTCTATTCCCAACACTGCGCGCGGTTACACGCAGTGTTGGGTGCGGTAGTTTAATCGTTGGTTGTGGATGTCATCGTTGGCGGAGTCCCCATGGCGCGGTTGCACGTGGCGTTTGGCGAGATAATAATTCTGATGACGGTGCACAATGGCTACGGTCCTGTCGCGGGGGGGGGGGGGGGGGGAGATCATCCATTTGGTTGCGACATGACAATGCGTTTGCCTTGAAAGGCTTTTCCCTTTTTGACGACAGTGTGTCCTTTGCTTATATAGGTGTGCGAAGAATTGTGTTCCTTCATCTGTTCTTTCGTTGTTGTGTTCGAGGGAACTCGGATTGCATCCGTTTGCGACGGTGCACCACAATTGTTTTGTCCGTGGTTAGGAAGACTGTCTATCTCTTTGTCTGCATCGACCTTTGCCATTTYCATTTTTTGCATTTGCAATCCCTGCTCACATTACAATCAGTTCCTGGAATGATGGAATGGAAGACGAATGCATGGATTGGATGTTCGATAACTAGAAAGATAAAAACATAGTTGGATGCATCACTTTCTGGCCATCAACATTCAACATTCAATATCACAACAAACCAACCCCGCCTCACATACGCTTCATAAAAACTGAAGGATCGATTGAAAACAAAAACAACGCATGGCTATGAAGATCAGCAAGATCACTACATGGAAGGTCCTTCGCTTTACAAGCATTGCACATCGGTTCGTCCGCTCGATAGACAAAACATTCATATGGCAAAACCCTATGAAAAGAAAAAAAAAACAAAAAGAATTCTGGAGAACTATACACGAATACAAAAATAAAAAAAGACTAGGCAACCCTCAAAGTCACGACATATCCTTATATTCACATGCGCGCTGCAATGACGATCGGCAAGGGAGGCTACCACGACATGTGCATTGACGACAGTTTGACGACAACAGACATGTCCATCATCAACCACTTCATTGGTCGAAAAGCAGCAAAGGCGACAAATTCATTTGCAAAATCCGTGTTCAATCCACAAGACGACAAACTGAGACATTCTGTTGTGTGTGTGTGTGTGTGTGTGTGTGTGTGTGTGTGTGTGTGTGCAAGAGAGAGAGAGAGAGAGACAGAGAGACAGAGAGACAGAGTAAGACGCAGTCGAAGAACATCAAGTACAAAAAAAAGGTAAGTGTTTTCCGCACTTATCCACTGAACGTTAAAAAATTCCAATGACGAGATTATCCGTCTCCGAGCACCAGAGCACTAGACGACATTCACAGCCACAACACGAAATTGTACAGATGGCGAGTGATCCGCCCGAAGGGGTCACCGCCGACCGGGAACAACCAATGACGACCCGCCACGTGCACGACAGTCTGCCTACCAATACGACTAAGAGGGGAAGTCTGCTACTGACTCGTCGACGACATTCCGAGAGGCCACAAATGCACAGTACACAGCCTAGCAACTCTACTGCTCACGAATAGCCTTCGCTATTTCCAACAACGCGTGGCACATGAGTTTGCTGACTTCGTCCGACGCAGCATAGTGCTTCCCCTGCACTTCTACTTCAGCTTCCAACTCCTGGCACTGTGGGACTTGGATGGAGCATTGCCGCTTGCTCGCACTCTCCATCGTCGACGCCATTAGCGCCCCGTGCTTCTCCATGCATTCCATCAGCGCCTCGAAAGTCTGCTGCCTCATGCTCTTCCTCTTCCCAAAACCAGCGAGGGTACCTGTCATCTGGGAAGAACCTCGCGTCGACCCCTTGTTGTCGTCCTCTCGCCCCACACCTCCGTCCCCATCAGCCACCGATTCAGGATCCGCGTTCGACGTCGATGGCAGACGCACACCGCCAGAAGCACCAGTGTCTGCCATGTTCTTCGGGTTGATGGTATGGTTCCTCCCGGTCGACCCCTCTATCTCGTCGTAAACAACACGATCCATAGTGAAATTGAAGCCCTCGCTCGCCCTCTCCTTCGCCGACAACTGGAAGAAGTAATCTCCCCCGGACAGCGATTGAAAATGATGGACTTTCTTGAACTGCTGCATCAGATTGTCCCACTTCTTCCCGCATTTCTCGGCATCCCTGTCCACGCCCACATTCTTCAATCTTTGAGCGACGTCTTGCCGTTTCCATTCTCGTGGTTTCATCCGGGCGTACTCGTGCCCCATCCCCTACATATGCGCATCTTGGTCACGTTTAGCCCTTATGAGGGCTATAATGTGTTCGACGGACCAGAAGTTGCGCTTCTCCTCCACATCACCATCGCCGTTGCCAACGCTCCCCTTTCCCTGGCCTTTCTTCGCCTGCGGACGACCATTGCAGTCGGAAGGCTTCGACTTTCCGCCCTTGCAGCTCTGCAAGGACGGCGACACGTAACCGCCCCCCCTTCCCCACCTTCTCCATCGTTGTCATCTTCGTCGTCGTCGTCTGCTTCCGCAAGTGGATCGTTTGTTTCCTTCTCCCGGTCACCCCCACGAAGATGCTCCACCCCCCGTCTGATGGATTCCTCTCGCTGCACCCGAAGCTCCCGTCGCAGTTCCGCCCACACCTCCCTCCCGTCCCGATCATCACCAATGTCAAAGAAGTCCGTCCCGGCGGCGAGCCACTTCGGACGCCGCAGACAGGGGAGACAGCGACTGCATCCACTGGGGCCGACCCTGGGTGGCCCTGGACAGAGAGGGCGCCCGTGCTTGCTGCGTCGACGAGTTCGGGTTCGCTCCCGTCGTTTCGCGCGCCAACGCTCTCGTCTTCGATGATCGATCGATAGCCGTCAATTGCCCGCGGTCGTCGCAGGGGTGGGGGTTCACGAGGACTGTGCGCGATGGAGTCGATGACTACCCGGTGGACAGACCGAACGACAGGTTGATACGGCCATCTCCTTCGTCGCCGCTAAGGCCGGGCCGAAGGAGTTCAGTGAACGACTGCTCGTACACGCCGCTGCCCGTCCCACATAGCTCTGTGGCTGCCCACTCCTGAGTCGATCTGCGACCCAACGATACGGTGCATGGCCGTCTCTCCTCCTCGTCTGATGAGCCGGGGAGGGGTTGCAAGTGCGGTGGCAATGCCTCATACCCAACCCGCTGGGATGCCCTCCAAACCATCGACGGACTTTCCCCGCATCGCCTCCCGCCGACCTGTTCCCCTCCGGACCTGGGGATCGCCTGCCGTGCCTCCGTCCTAGCGTCCTTCATCGAAAACCTTCTTTTGCTTCGACGCCGCGGTACGTTTTCGAGGATACACACCTGGAAGACAACCAAGTGTAGCAGCAACACGACAACCGTACGGACATATTGGGTCGCCAACGTTCGGCGTCACGGGATTCATCGCCAACGGTTACCGTTTGCGGCCTACCGCCATCGCCAGCGGGTTGGGTATGAGGCATTGCCACCTCCCGAGGTCCCTTGGAGGTCGAGCTTCCGGAAGAATCGGGGCATCGACGGCAGGTCCCTCGACGACATTTTTTGAACCCGCCTGGCCCATCGGTAGTCCTGCCTCGAGGCCCAGCCCATCCATACGAACATGTGAATCCCGAGGAGTGTTGAACGAGCCCCGAAGACGAGAGTACTTGTCTCTCATATGCATTTACTACCGTTTGCACGACCCCTCGAGGCCCAGCCCATCCATACGGACTTTCACCCCTCATACAAGGCCGTCGGGG